AAACCAATGAACAGTAGAAAATACAGATTAATGTGGAGGGACCTGAATATATCATTTACTCTTTGGAGCTAGTCCCTATAATTCATCAAATGAACAATAAGATAATGTTTTGAGGACCACAGACTTCTCTGAGTGTTGAATGTCACAAGGAAGTTACTGCAGCAGTAGTAAGCATTGGGCTAAGGAGAAATATCGGCTGTCACGAGACAATATAGTGAGTAGGAACAGATATATCAGTCATCCAGCTTTGTTCTGGCCAAGTTGAGAGCTAGTGCATTGCTTAGGGTTTAGGACGATTTTAAGGATTTTGGTACAAGTGATGTGCTGATAAAGCAGGAAGTGTTAATTTAAATCTGTAGTAGAGAAACCGGTATTTTCCCAGAGAGACTTCTTTCACTTAATTTTTTTGTTGGTATTTTATATGGCTCTGAAGTCACTTCAGATGTGATTCATGGTGTCATGACTGGCTTTTTCTTCAGTGGGAAGAACTGGGATACCACCTCTTGGGATTTGGTATTTTCTCCCTTATCAAAGTACATGACAGGAATTTTTTTGTGTCTCTTTCGATCCAATAATAAATAAATAAATCATCCACAGAAAACCTCCCAACAAACAGATGAAATGTTAGACAAAACCTCATACTCAGTACCTGACTTATCTTTGATTATCCCTTACCAGAACAACTTTGTTAAAAGTGTGCAAATAGCTTAGTTTAAATAAAATTGAAGTTTATATTGCTGGAATGCTATTTTTTAATATCTACTAAAATGGAAAAATAGTAATTGAAATGTAAATATGCTTAGGTGGCTTCACATAAAAATATTGTATAATGTTGATGAATTTTGAAAGGTTTATTAGAAATATTTTTGTGATTTCCTGCAGAACATAGGCTGTGTCAATGCCTTTTTTAAATTAACCTTCTATTTAGACTGGGGCTTCTTTTAAACAGCCCACCCCACTCCTCACCCAAAAAAAACCAAACCCCAACCCCCTGACCCAAACACACATGCACCAAAACAGAACACCCACACCCTTGTGAAAAAAGTTCCAGTAATGGTCCACAACTATTTGGTAAGTTGTTCCTATGACTAACTTGTGCCTTTGTTTATGAAAAAAAAAAAAAAAAAAGGAACTGTAATATCATTTATGGACTAGGTATGTCAGACCTTGGCTTCTAGTCACTGGTACACCTATATATGTTGTTTTTTTGGAATGAAGACCTTTAATTAAAAACTTGTCTTCCCTGTTTGAGTCAAATTGCCCCTTCACCTTACTTTGAACTTAAATTATCTTCTTATTTGCGTATGCAACTTACATTTGTTAATTGCTTTTCTGAAGCTTCAGTTTTTCATCACTGAAAATTTGAAACTATTCCAGTCACAGTTGCAGTGCTGTGACATACAGAGGTAATAGCTGTTGGTACTTGATCTCTTGTCCTGATCACTGACCGTTTGGGTTACATTATTTCCCTGGATGTCATCCTGTTTCCTCAGCAGCTCAAGAAGGCAGCCTAAGCTGCCTGTGTTTTTAATTAATTTGTTAGGGGTAGTATTGGTGACAGTTAATTGCAGAACTTTCCGTGGATGTGGAAAGATTGGTATAAACATCTCTCTACCTTTTAATACCTTGAGATGCTATTGCCCTACAAATGCAGTGGAGACTTAAGGTTTTGGATCAGTAGTAGATGTTACTGGTAAACCTCAAAAAAGCTGTAGAAGAGTGTTCCAGGTTTTTGTAGCTTGTTCAGCAGAACAAGTTTTGTCATATTTTCCCTTGCCAACTTCGATTACTGGTTGTTTATTCTATGACATGTAGATTATAAATTGTTTAATGTTGGAGGCATTAATTTTAAAGCAGGATTTTAGTGAAGAATTTTCATGTTTCTTGGTTGAGAATGTAAGATTTGGACTGAAATTACAGATAGCTGGAGAGGATTGATTCCTTACATTAGAGAATACACTCAGAGAGATACTGGTCTATGACATTTTGATAAGTTCCAAAGAGCTCTAGCCTGGATTGAACTGTATCAGCTTTATTGGGCAGCATCATATGGTGGCCGCAGTTAGGATGGAGACTGTTCTTGGAGAATTGCACTTGCCCTTCCTTGTTAGATATCTGTGCCGTAGTTAATTTCAATCACACTTATTGACTATAATGACTACAGGATCCTCCTGAATTTACTGACTTTGCAAAGCCAGCATAGCGAAGTTGCAGTAGATTTTGTGATAAGCTCAATCTTAAAATGATTTGATTAATTTTTATCTCTGCATCCCATTGAAAGCTGTGAAACGGAATATATGTGACTGGGGCAAATGGTGTGCAGAATTTTGTTTCAGAATTGTGTTTGAGTTCTGCCAGCCAGACTCAAAAATACTTATTTTTTACTTATAAACTGAAGACATTTGAACTGAGAATTAAGACCAAGTGTTAATCCATGGGATGACTCTCATTTCAACATAGATTTTAAAAATTACATTATGTTTTGTCATTATTTCAATATTTATGCTTTTTTAAGAACTCCTTTTAAGGAGCCATTTATTCTCTGGGCTTTAAGGGAGGAAACATGGGAACTTGAATATTGAAATTAGGTTTCTCAACTGTTCTTGTCTCAGACGGTATACTGGTTTTGTTACAGTACTGTGATTTCTAAAAGGAAATAGTTGAGTTTAATTTATTTCAAACCTTCCTCAACTGTGTTTACATTGTATTTGCAATTGCTTCAGGTATAATTTGCTTGTGGCTGTTGCTGGAGGAAGTCATGGGATACTTCCATGGTTTCTTTTGTCTGGACCATTTCACTATTGACTCTGCTAATTGCTTTCTAGATGTAAAAATAAACTAGATGCTCTTTAAAAGCTTTCAGCTGCTTCTCTGACCTTACTTATGTGTTGCTTCTGATAAAATGGGAAGATTCATTGGCCTGTGATGCTATTCATGAGCCTGCAATAAAGGATTCTTTCAGGCTTTCTCTTGTCCTCTTTTAACAAGGCTCAGCATTTGTATAGGCTCTTCAATCTTTGTTTGATTTGTAAGTGATAGCAGAAGTCAAGTGTGCCTCTTAACATTTGCATACTGTTGAGATAAAATCTGGGTCTTCCTATGATAATTATAATCCTGGCTGAGTTGAACATTCAGTGAAGGTTACAAATCAAGCCTGGTGTTACTGCCTACTTGGTGAGTCTGCTTTCAGTGTTAAACTCATGTTGAATAATTTATTTCCTACTTCATACTCAAGTTGCAGGGGGTTTACAAGTTGGGGATTTCTTTTGGGGGAGAAGCGGGCTGGAGAGGAAGATTCATGTCTATTTAACCTATTCCTAGAAAGCACAGGTTTGTGTGGCTTAAGAAAACTTGTATGGATTCCATGGTCTACTATACAGATGAATCTGCTTTGTCATCCCTTCTCATTGAACCATTAGAAGGCTGTTCTTGGATGTGATTGTCCCTTAGAACTAAGACTTCCAGATCGTTTTAAGCACAGCTACTTTATTCCTTTTTATTTTTCTCCCAGTGTAATTTCTATTCTCTCCCCACTGTTGATCTATGGATAGACAACAGACATCTCAATTGACATATCTTTGTGTTTTTATTTTATTTCTTACTCTCTTCCCAAAATACGTTCTTCATCCTAACAACTGCTAGTGTTCAAGTTCTCTAGCCTTGCTAGAAGACTCCTAAAAGGAAGGATATCAATGCTGTGGAGTCATTGTTACAGTATTTGCTTATGTGGATTACCGTCAACCCTTTGCACCTTTCGTTTAACTGTTAACATGCTTCCTAGTCTTGTTATGGGACACTATATTGCCTTCTAGAATTGAGAACTTCCTTTGATTTGGTTCCAAGCAATATTTCTGATATGTTAGTAGCGAAGATACCCGTTGCTTCTATTTTATGTGAATGCTTGAGGAAAAGTAATTGGATTTCTCTTTATTTCACATGGGGTTGGATTTCTCTTTACTTCACATGGGGTTTATAATGCAGGTACCATAAAACATCAGGATTGTTTCTCAGCTGTATTATTGAGAAAGCATTCTGAAACCTAACATGTAGAAGCTTGAAATCAGATTTCCCTGTGGAGGTTAAAAAGCCCAGTAAACCCTTAGACCAGGTACTCTGTTTCAGGCCAAGAAACTAGTCATGAAGTGCTGGCTGCAGTACATCTAACCCTAGTAAAATCTGACTTCTCCAAATGGTTGGCCTCAGAAGTAAATCTAAACTTCAGCTTGAAAAGATTACTCCTTGAAATTATAAATTCCTCTGGGTCTAGTATTTTTCATGTACAAAGCATGCCTAAAAGCTCTGCTTTTGTATGACAACAATTTAAAAACCTGGAGTGACTTGACAAGGAAGTCAATGAATAATGAGACTGCTCAGGTAAGCTATTGCTGATTGTAGGTAAGCAAGGGAAGCACCAGTGCATTATATTTGCTGTGCAAATACAGCACACTTCATGTGTTTATTATTTACATTTTACTGCTATTAATGCATTAGTGTAGCCTGTGAACTTAATGTAAAAGATTTTGCAGCTGACAAAGTAAGTGTTCATTCCAAGCTACTTGCAAAAACCTTTAAGTTTAGACTATGTGAAGATAGTTATCTGAGGCTTCTAGTGTATATACCCAGGAAAATAAAAACCATACTTCCCCCCCCCCCCCGCCATTTCTTAGCTAATGTGTGTAATTTGAATTTCAATAAATAAAGAGCTGACTACATAGAGAAAATAAAGGGAGTAGAAGTAAGCAAAAGTTGTTAACTGTATACATTTACCATGTTGAGTTGTTGCATACAGTTCTAACATAATAGAAACAAAACTTGACTGAGTTAAATAAGATTATGCTGGATTATGCAACAGATAAATATTAGCTTTGCATATTATAAGTACTGGGGTTTCCTTGTAACTCCTCCTGTCCTCTTAATAGAGCTTTTTATGAGTAATGTGAAATGTGCATGAGGCAACTAGTTTTCCATTCCTACTTAATCGTAAAATATTTGCATTTCAGCTCAAATTAAAGACAAAATTAAAGAAAGGGAAAAGAAGCAGAAGGAGAAGAAGAAGCACAAAATAATGAATGAAATGAAGAAAGAAAATGGAGAGGTCAAATTATTGCAGAAAGGTACGTTTAACCTATGTAGTGGTATTTCATTTTAGTGCTTGAAAATCTTTATGATTGGATTGGATATTGAGTTTTTATATGATGTTTTGTGTTTAACTTAAATTCCATTTTCCTTGATTAGTTTGTACAAAAGTTGAAAAGTAAAACTTAACCATTCATTTTTTTGTCATCTGTGTTAGGTACTAGAGATTAAAAATATACCTATCACTGCAATGTTGCCTATACAGTAGTAGTAAAGAGCGGTACTTCAAGGAATAATGTTGGTGACACCTGTATCTTCTCTGCAGTTACTGAAGAAGGTTAGCATTTTATATATTGTGGAGAAGAAAAATGAATCCATGTCACATTTTATATCTAACATTAAATGCATAAAGCTGAATAACTAAGGGGCTATAATTTGTCAACTTTGTCAAATATTAAAAAATTATGTGTAACAGACAGACTTAATTTTTGTAGAATCATAGGATGGTTTGGGTTGGAAGGGACCTTAAAGATCACCTAGTTCCAACCCCCCTTCCATGGCAGGGACACCTTCCACTAGACCAGGCTGCTCAAAGCCCCGTCCAACCTGGCCTTGAACCCTTCCAGGGAGGGGGCAGCCACAGCTGCTCTGGGCAACCTGGGCCAGCGCCTCACCACTCTCACAGTAAGGAAATTCTTCCCCGGGTGTAATCTGAATCTACCCTCTTTCAGTTTAAAACCATTACCCTCTGTCCTATCACTACATTCCCTGATAGAGAGTTCCTCCCCACCTTTCCCGTAGACCCCTTTAAATACTAGAAGGCCACTGTAAGGTCTCCCTGAAGCCTTCTTTCCTCTAGGCTGCATAATCCAACTCTCTTAGCCTGTCCTCATAGGGGAGATGCTCCAGCCCTCTGATCATCTTCGTGGCCCTCCTCTGGAGTTGCTTGAGCAGGTCCATGTCCTTCTTATACTGGGAGGCCCAGAGCTGGACACAGTACTCCAGGTGGGGTATTGTGAGAGCATAGGGAGAGAATCCCCTCCCTCAACCTACTGACCACACTTTTCTTGATGCAGCCCAGGACACAGTTGGCTTTCTGGGCTGTGAGTGCACATTACTGGCTTGTATTCAGTCTTCCATACACTGACATCCCCAAGTCCTTCTCCACAGGGCTGCTTTCAATTCACTCATCGCCCAGCCTTTGTGCTTGGGATTGCTTTGACCCATGTGCAGGACCTTGCACTTGGCCTTGTTGAACTTCATGAGGTTTTCATGGGCCCAGCTCTCAAGCTTGTACAGGTCCCTCTGGATGGCATCCCTGCCCCCCAGCATGTTGACTGCACCACACAGCTTGGTGTCGTCAGCAAAGTTGCTGAGGGTGCACTTAGTCCCACTGTCCATGTCTCCAACGAAGATGTTAAACAGCACTGGTCCCAATACCAACCCCTGAGGAATGCTACTCATCACTGCTCTCCACTTGGACTTTGAGCTGTTGATTGCAACTCTCTGGGTGTGACCATTCAGCCAATTCCTTATCTGCAGAGTGGTCTATCCATCAAATCCATGTCTCCAGTTTAGAGACAAGGATGTTGTGTGTGACAGTGTCAAATGCTTTGCACAAGTCCAGGTAGATAAAGGCAGTTGCTCTTCTCTTATCCACCAGCACTGTAACCCCGTTGTAGAAGGCCACCAGATTTGTCAGGCATGATTTACCCTTAGTGAAGCCATGTTGGTTGTCACCATTCACCTTATTTTCCACGTGCCCTAGCATTGTTTCCAGGAGGATCTGCTCCATGGTCTTGCTGGACACAGAGGTGAGACTGACTGGCCTGTAGTTCTCTGGGTCTTCTTTATTTCCTTTTTAAAAATGGGGGTTATGTTTCCCCTTTTCTAGTCAGTGGGAACTTCACCAGACTGCCATGACTTCTCAAATATGTTGGAGAGTGGCTTAGCCACTTCATCCACCAGTTCCCTCAGGACCTGTGGGTGCATCTCATCAGGTCCCATGACCTGTGCATCTTCAGGTTCCTTAGAAGATCTTGAGCATGATCTCTTCCTACAGTAGGTGGTTCTTCATTTTTTCCAGTCTCTGCCTTTGCCTTCTGCATCTTGGGTGATGTGGCTGGGGCACTTGCCAGTGAAGACTGAGGCAAAAAAATTGTTGAGTACCTCAGCCTCCTCCATATCCTTGGTAATCAGGTCTGCAGTTTCCTTCTGGAGAGGGTCCATGTTTTCCCTAGTCTTCTTTTTATAACCAACATACCTATAGGAGCTTTTCTTGTTGCCCTTGATGTCCCTGGCCAGATTTAACTCTATCAGGACTTTGACCTTCCTAACCTGATCCCTAGCAGCTCGGACAGTTTCTGTGTATTCCTCCCTGGCCACCTGTCCTTGCTTCCATCCTCTGTAGATTTCCTTTTTGTGTTTGAGTTTGTCTAGGAGCTCCTTGTTCATCTGTGCAGGCCTCCTTGCATTTTTGCTTGACTTCCTCTTAAATCACTCCTGAGCTTGGAAGAGGTGATCCTTGAATATGAACCAGCTTTCTAGGGCCCCTCTTCCCTCCCAGGCTTTATCCCATGCTATTCTACAGAGCAAATCCCTGAGGACGCCAGAGTCTGCTCTCCTGAAGTCCAGGGTAGTGAGCTTCTTGTGTGACATTCTCGCTGCCCTAAGGATCTCGAACTCCACCGTTTCATGGTCACTGCAGCCAAGGCTACCCTTGAGCTTCACACTCCCCAACAGCCTCTCCTTGTGCTGCACAACTGCTGCACAAATGGCCAGGCCCTCCCCTGCCATGCCCTGTTTGCCTGCTCTGTTCCCAGTGCTCCTGGGGGCTGGTGCTCCCTGGGGCTGTCTGTTGTGGGAGCAGGAGATGGCCGCCGTTACTCCTGTCACTGACTGAGCCTTGTTGGCTGCTCTCTCTCGTGAGAGGTGCTGGCTCCTGGTGGGTCTCAGTGCTCCCCTGGGGTTTCCTTGGCTCAGGAAACCTCCCCTTGCATGCTGTGATGCCCTCCTCTGCTGTGGAATGTGCCTGCACCGGAGCTGATTTCTTCAACTTCATTTACTATAATGGCATGTAATTAAGATCATATTCTTACACTTGCTTGTACATCCACTGAAGCTTAGAGTTGTATAGTAGTTGAAGTTGGAAGGGACCTAATCCAATGTTGATGCTTGAAGTACAGGCAACTAGAGCAGGGTGTCCAGGACCGTGTGGAGGCTCCGCAATCTCTCTGGACAACCAGTATCAGTATTTGACCACTCTTGCAGTAAGAAAATGTTTAAAAGGAATTTATTTTACTTTGGTGACAGGACCAAGCGGTAAGGGCACAAATTGGCTCCCTCTGAGAGTAGTCCTGCATCTGGGGAAGAATAACCCTAAGCACTGATACGTGCTGGGGGCTGACCAGCTGGGAAGCAGCTTTGCTGAGAAGGACTGTGAGGTTCTGGCAGACAGCATGTTGACCATGAGCCTGCAGTGCACCTTCATAGCAAAAAAAGGGCTGCACTAGGAAGAGCGTTGTCAGCAGGTGGAGGGAGATCACCCTCCTCCTCTATTCAACACTGCTGGGGCCGCATCCGGAGTACTGTGTCCAGTTCTGGGCTCTTCAGTACAAGAAGGATACAGATTTACTGGAGTGAGTCTATCACAGCCAAATACGGTGAAAGAACTGGGACACATAGTAGGGTCTATTGCGACAGGAGAAGGGGTAATAAGTTTTAAACTAAAAGAGGTCAGATTTAGACGAGAAGGAAGCAATTTTTTACGATGAGGGTGATGAAACACTGGAACAGGTTGCCCACAGGGGTAGTAGATGCCCTGTCCATGGAAACATTCAAGGCCAGGTTGGACAGGGCTCTGAGCAGCCTGATCTAGTGGAAGGTGTCCCCGCTTATTGGAGGGGAGTTGGACTAGATGACCTCGAAAGGTCCCTTCCAACCCAAGCCATTCTATCATTCTATTCTATGATCTTTCCGATGAGGAAAGGCTGAGACAGCTGGCTCTGGTCAACCTGGAGAAGAGGAGTTTCAGGGGTGATCTCATCAATATGTATAAACATCTGGTGGAAGGGAAGGAAGAAGATGGAACCAGACTCTTCTCAGCAGTGATCAGTGACAAGACAGGAGTCAGTGGGCACAAATTAAAACATGTGACATTCTGTCTCAATGTAAGAAGAAACCTTTCTTACTGTGAGGGTGGCTGAATACTGGCACACAGAGGTTGTAAAACCTGACTGGACACAGTCCTGGGCAGCCTGCTCTAGGTGACTGAGCAGAGGAATTAGACTAAATGGTATCAAGACATCCCTTTCAACCTCAGTGCTTCTGAGTCTGGCTACATTTTTATACATGCTCATCAGGTATTTGTACACACTGATAAAATTTTTATTTCCTGCCCCCCCCCGCACCGCTTTCTTTTCTCCATGCTGAACAATTCACTGCTCTCACTCTCTTTGTGTGAGTGATGCTCTGCTCCCTTAGTCATTTTTGGGTCCCTTTGCTAGATTTGCTCCAGTATGTCCATGTCTGTCATAATGAAACTGCTGAACACAAGGTATCAGTGTCTGGGTTACTCCACTAGCGACTGTCCTCCAGCTGAACGCTGTGCTGACCACAACCCTTTGAGCACGGCAGTTAAGCCAGTTCTTGATCCTCTTCACTCTTCACTTACCTAGGTTATGCTGCATCAGTTTTTCTGTGAGGATGTTGCTTATTGAAGTAGACCAATTTATTTTTTTTATCTGCTATTTCCAGACTCTGCTTTTGAAGTTTGGAAGACATTCCTGATATATTTTTCTGCTATCTTATCTGTTGTAGGATTTCATTTACAAACAAAAAACTGAAACCCCAAAAACTTAACATTATCTTCAGAATGTTCATAAGAGATCAGAAGCGTGGAACCCTGTAATTACTACATCACATATTATACTCTAGGCACAGCTCCAAATAACTGCATTAGCAACTCTGACAGCCTAAAACCTGTGTTGATCAGATCTCAAGATATCAGCTTAGACCACGAGGAATGTGTAAGCTCGTG